AAGATGCTTTCTGCTGGTGAACATCTGGGTATCTGCAGACATGGTCTCATGCAAGTCTCCTACAAAGTGATAGGTCAGTGCCATTGTTTTTTAATCATAAGATAAACTCTGGGAACTGTGCAGTGAGAAGAGATGAACTAGCTGATCCAAGATGCCTGGGGGCCTGCTGGTCACTGTGAGTGCTGCTTGTGGGAAAAGATCTTTGTGAAAACTCAGACTTCTATCACCAAAGACTTTTAATTTCTGAATATTTTAAAAAGTCATTAAGCGCTGAAGGTGGCCGTTAAGACTTCAGCATCTGACACCCACTTCCTCACCTCTGCTCCCTGCCTTCACCGTAGGGGATATAGGTGTCCACGGGGGAAGTCATCCTCGCGATGAGGCTTCTCTGTTCCTTCCTGCAGCCTACCCAGGCCACAATCTTACCCAGGATGGCTCCCCTCCAAGGTCACTAATTTCAGCTTCCCTGACGTGACCTGCCCTGGCAGCTGCTTCCCACTCCTCACAGGCTGTGTTTTGAACTCACCGACCACTTTGATGTTTCTTCCAAGCTATCAGCAGCCATTGTCCTCACTCCCCACAATCCAGTTTACATCTTATAGTCTGTAACTTCAATAGCTTGGTTTCTAAGACCTCTGCATTCCCTTGCCCCTTCTCTCCTGTTTTCTTGACACCTATGTAACAAAATCCCATTTTGGAAAAAAACTATTTTCTATTTCCACCAGCAGAGCAGCTCTGCTAGCATAAAACAGTCTGGGGTAAATCAGGACTCCTGTAGTCAGCGAGCCAGGGACCTTGACGTTGCCCAGCAAACATTGCTCCCCTTTTATTTAGAGAATCTTAGAGGTACCGATGCATAAATAAATCTTAAAAAAACAACTAAACAGGCCCTCCCTGGTGGCACAGCAGGTTAAAGCACAGCATTGAGAATCTAAAGCCGCTTCCGAATGAGTTCGATTCCCGCCTGCCCCGAAGGTGACCACATGGTGTGGCAGACCTCTCCTGACCCGCCCGCTGCTCCCCTCAGCAGTGTACTTCGTCGATCTGCCTGTTCTGTTCCCCACTCTGTCTCTGGTGAAGCCTCTCACCGCCCCTGAGCCTCTGGCCTGTACCCCAGTTCTGTATGCACAAATAAATAAAAAAATCTTAAAAAAAAAAAACAAAACAACTAGACATCACCAGCCCCATCCCCGCCCTGAGCTAGTCTCTGTACTCACCATCTTGTTTTCTTCATAGAACTTTTAACTTTCTAAATCCACCTTGTCTTTTATTATCCATCTCAGGGATATGAGCTCCCTCCACCCCCAAGTAATTCTGTGTTGTTCACCAACCCTAGGGTCTATACCCTGTTTATTTTAATTTTGACTATAGATTTTTATTTGCAATCCTTATTGAACTCCGTATCTACATATATAGTTGTCTAGTCAGCGTTATGAAGCACCTGGATATATCATTAATAGCACTGTAAGCGCAAATAAAAAAACGAAGTCCAGGGCCCGAGCAGTAACACAAAGGGGTTAAAGCACGCAGCACTATGAAGGTGGCCGCAGCCACTGCAATACAAGTTCAATCCATGGCCAGGGAGCTGACCCACAGGGCACAGCAGACCTCTCCTGTCTCCCCGCTGCTCCCCTCAGCAGTGTTTCAGTAGATCTGCCTGTCCTGCTCCTTACTCTGCCTCTGGTGAATCCTCTCACTCCCACATCTCTGGCCTGTACTCAGCTCTTGTATGCCTAAATAAATCTTAAAAAAAAAAAACAGTGGAAGCCCATCTTGCTGGCTGGCCTTTCCTCCCACCCCCTGGTAGGTGGCATCACCAGTCATTCATTGATAAAACCTAGAAACCTAGGAGCTTCCTGGACTCCACCCCCTTCCTTGCATCACCATCATGGGTTGATTGTACCTCTTTAAAAATGTCCCCCTCTACCACTCTCTTCATTCAAGCTGAAACACCCACACCTCTGGGGCTTATCCACTTCCCCTGCATCCTTTCTAAACATGACAGCTTGGACAGTCTTTTTAAAACATCTGATGAAGTCATCCTCCAAGCCTATCAATACCCTTCTTTCCAACGGGAACCTTAAAACCATCTGACTTCCATCTCCAAATCTGGCCCCTCCCCTCTCACCTTTGGCCTCAGCCCAGCCTCATCCACTGTAGCCCAGTGGAGTATAGTGCCTGGCAGGCAGGATGTACTTTGTGGAACAGGTGCTCCTGGTGGGTAACTGGACGTTATAGCAAGAGCTGTAGTTTAAATGTGGGAAATAAAAACAGGATGACAGAGAAGCAAACACTCAGAAGATTTGTTCATTGCATTGGGTGCAGGAGAGAAAATGAACTGATTTGGAGATGTCGGTTTAGGTAACAGAGTGACCGCCAGGTGGCTGTGTCTAAGGGGCCTTTAAAGATTAAGAAGTGAATCTCTGAAGAGACCGATGCCTCAGAAGGTAGCAAGTTTGCAGATGGGCCAGCAGGGTGGGGCTGGGGGTAGAGGGAAGTGTGTTCAGCCTCATGGAGATTCCCACCACTTCCTTTTCCAGGGTGGAGAGGAAGGCCGTCAAAGAGCAGACCAGGAAGGAGAGGGAGAAGCGGTGTCCGGTTAAGTTTGCAAAGCAGGAGGGAGGGTTTGTGAAAAATGCTAAATACGTCAGCCAGGAGCAGTGATTCAGGAGAAAAAAAAAAAAAACATTTAGGCTCAAAAATCCAAATGATGGAGATACACTTTGGGGATCCTGTTTGCAGTTCTTTCTCTGCCTATTCTGTTCCCTGCATGTTCCTCTCTCCCCTGGAAACTTTACTCGTGTTTCTTTATGCAAATACAGGTAAATAAATACTATGGGAAAGGGTCTTTGTTTATTAGAGGCAATCACTGGTGACCAGTGAGAGTGGGGTTTAATTCGCATTAACCCCAGAATCACTTACTGAATAGGAAAGGGAGAAGTTGCTTGGCAGTGGCAAGAATGAAGCGGAGGAGAGAGTGGGTTCGTTGAGCCCAGGGGCGCTTGCCTTACGCCTGGGGCTTATCAGCCACATTTCTCAGGTGAGAAGACCTGCATCCTTAAAGATGTAGTGGTAATGTCAGAAATGACTGGTGAAGAGGCAGCCAGAAGGAGACTTGAAGATGTTTCGATAGTGGAAGAGACGTGTGCAGTTAAGAAGATCAGAGCCATAGGGAGAGAAAACCAGAGCTCAAAGATTCTACAAAATAATTAAGGAGCAAGATCCTTCCTTCATGGAAGAGCCAGAAGAAAACAGACACTCAACAGCAAAGAAAGCAGAGGCAGGTGAGAGGGCTGAGAAACTGAAGAGACAATTGAGTCTGGACGGACGCAGTGGATGTGGGCACAGCAGACATCACAGCACATGGCGCCAGTGACTGCCCCAAGCACTCTGGAAGGAGCAGGGAGATGTGTGGAGTAAATTCTTCATCTTTCCTGAACTACCTGCTCTTCCTGCAAACCAAGCCTACAGCCCAAGAGGACACAGGAGAAGGGCCCAGGTGACGTAGGATGGGCCCAGGTGACACGGGACAGGCCCAGGGAGCTCAGGGGCCGACATGCTGGCCTTGAAGCTGCTCATTCTGGAGTCCTGGGGGAGACACGTGGGGCGATGGAATGAGGACACTGAAGTGATGGGGGGTCTGGAGGGAAGACGAAATAGTATTAGGATCTTGGCTATTGTGGGCTTTATTCTTTCAGAACAGCTCCTTTAGGGCAGCGCTCGTTAACCCGAGAATCATTTACTGAATATGTATACTATGTTGGATCCTGTGCCCAGTACCAGGGACGTGGGTGACCAGCATGGGCATGATCTCTGCCCCCACTGCAATCAGTGGGAGTCAGTGTGGGACACTGAGCTCTGGTGAGATGAAAGAGGCTTCTAATTTGCCAGGATCTAGGAAACCCCAGAAGTGGGTCAGGAGGAGACAGGGGTGGTCCAGAGGTTTGGGGGTGGACCTGGAGACCACCAGAAGGGACAGAAAGGTGACAAGTAAAGAAGTTATTGTCGAGGGAGATACTGAGATCATGATTGCTATCAGCGACTGTTAATGTCCCTCCGGAACTGTGGTTGCTAGGAAGGGCAGTTCACCTCTGCAAGAGCCTGGAGTTCAAGCTGTAGCAACTCCCCTGGGAGGCCTCCTGACAGTGAGGAGCTAAGAAACAGGGAGCTGCAGAGTAGCAGAGTACTGGCTACGGCAGCACAAAACAAGGGGCCTGCTCCAGGCCAAGGGGCGTCCCTCTGCCTGCATTTTATCCCCAGGCCTTCCACGGGCCGGCCGTAAGCAACCTACCAGGCCTGTTTTGCCACCTGTAAAGTGGGGTTCATATTAATGACTGGCATTTATTGAGCACTTCGTGCACTGCACCAGGGGCTTTCCCCATACGACCTCGCTCAGTAAGGCCTGAAAACGACTCTGCATCCTCACAAAGGATTAAATGAGATTACTCTTGTAAAGGTCTCAGGGCCGTGCCCGATGCCCAGCAAAGCCCCAGTTAACGTGTTTTCTACTAGCGGAGTGGGACGCCCAGGGCCAGGTTCCCGGCCGGGTGGGAGGTGGCGAGGGGAGCCGCGTTGGTGCGAGCCCGCCCGCGCGCGCCGGGAACGGTCCAGCACCGCGGCGCGAGCCAAGGCCCGCAGTCCTGGCGACGCGGGTGGGAGACCCCTCGGCCAGTCCCTCGGCTTCTCCGAGACTCGGTGCCCTCCTCCCTTAGGGCCCTTTCCGGAACCGCGCTCGGGGCGACCAGTGACGGCTGCAAAATCGAGGGGACAAGACGTCGATGTAACCAATACTCCGGCCTGGGCGGAGAGGGGTCTGACTGGCCCTTCTCTCGGATGGGGAGGCCGGGGCGCGCGGCGGCGGGAGGTCGCTGCGAGCCCGGAGACGCCCCAGTGTGGCCCGGAGCTCGCGCTTGGGACTCCAGGCCCGGGGGGCGGGCCTTGTCCCGGAAGTCCCGCCCCGGAAGTCCCGCGCGGGCTTCCGTGTCCGCCGCTGGCGGAGTCGTGTGTTCGGCATGGCGGCGGCTGGCGAGGGCGCCTGGCGGCCGGCGGACGGCGAGCATGACAGCTACCAGTCGCCGCTCGCCCGCCGCTACGCCAGCGCGGACATGTGCTTCCTGTTCAGCGACAGGTACAAGTTCCGGACCTGGCGGCAGCTCTGGCTGTGGCTCGCGGAGGCGGAGCAGGTAACCGCCCGGGCTGCCGCGGCCCGGGGCGTTCGCGACCCCGGCGCCCGTTCCTGAGGCAGCGTTTCCCGCCCAGCCGTAAAGACCTCGCAGACTAGCTGGGCTGCGCCGCCTGTGGGGGCAGAAACCCCGCTTCGGTGAGAAGCGGGCGCTTTCACCCTGCCGCTCGCGGCGGGCGGGACGTGCCCCGGACTCGGCGCGCCCAGCATGCGTGTCCCCGGGGCCGCTGTTTGTGCCTCACGCACCGCGGTCTGCGCGGGAGGGAAGCGGGCTGGGGGCTCAGGCGCACGCTAGGTGTCTTGTGAGAACTGCGCGGAGGGCGGGTCAGCCCACAGTTGCAGAAATAGCTGCAGAGGGTGGAAGGAAACTGGAGGTGATTTTGAGGGCTCTAAGGTTTCAGAGGAAAATACCACGGAAAGCGGGGGCAGTGCCTTCCAGGTGTCTTTAGCAGACGGGGGACAATCCGAGTGGGTGTCTGGGAGCACCATCCCTTGTGGGTCCAGAATGGAAACTTCGTTCTAGCCCCTTGCCCCCATCGCTGTCTTCAAGAAAATAAAGGAGTGTAACAATCGCCGACATTTCTGTAGCGCCTGGCACTGGTTAAAGACTTTACCTATTAATAGTTCCTTAGGCAGGTTCTATTCCTGTCTCGGGGGTGATGAAATGCGAGCGCTGAGGTTTCATAAACAGGGCTCAGATCAGCACATTAGTAGCTTATTTGCTAATGGTAGATGACATGGTGCCTTGTGGTTTATTATGCTCAATGTTTTGTTCCACTTGATACTTTGTTATGTAGATGAGGCGCTGACCCCCCCAAAGACTTTGCCAGGGTTATTTCAGCTACTGAGTGGCGTGAAGCTGCAGTTGAAATGTAAGGTGGTCCGAATTGGTGTTTCTCTGCCCATCTACACTTGCTTGAAATTCATGCAGTTTTGCTCCCTGCTGGATTTGGGTTGTCCATTACCTCGGGTGTCAACATTAGCCACATCATGTAACATAATGAGTTGGTAGTTTAAACTAAGAAAGAAAACCAACTGTGGGAGTGGGAAGATGAAGCCGGCAGAAAATAAATTTGGCAGGGAGAATGAGTTTCAGGGAGATGCATTGCTTTTGGGGAGAGGAGTAGAAAGTACTTTGGCCCCACTCCCCGCTGATGCTTTGCTGCGGGACGGGTCTGCAGCTGTTAGGAGGAAAGCTCCTGGGCGAGACCCCACTGGTGGCTACTGAACACTTGAAATGTGACTTGTGCGACTGAAGAACTGAAGTTTTAACTTTAATCACATCTGACTAGTAGCGCAGCTGCGGACAAGACGGGTGTAAGATGCAGGATCTTCCTCGGCATCAGGCCTTGGGGTTTTCAGGGGAGGGTTGAAAAAACTCACCAGTCTGTGTTTCCCGCTTGGCATCTGATCTCTACTAGCCTGTTTTCCCATGGAAGAAGGTAGGAAGTGCTTCATGCCACCACCCCCTGAAGCTTTGCTATTATTCCTTTCTCATCAATATTTCCTAGAATTGATTTCATTTGGACTGAATTTGCTAGACATGATATGTTGGCAAAACTACTTACAGCATTCCTTATTTTGGTTTCTCTGAGTAAGCTCCCCCTCTCCCCATGACCAAACAAATCTGTGGCCTGGGTTCCACACTTCGGACATTAGGAGCTTGGTACTGAGGAAGCAGTAAATACAACTCAGCTCTCCTCTTACATGAAGGACCCATTCTCGGGGGGAGAGGGGCAGGCTCATTAATTTAGTAAGTCAGGCCAAGGAGATGGTGATGCACAGGGTGAGTATTTCCCATTGAGATTAAGAAGGACCTCTGAGAAGATGGTATTTGGGCCCAGAGACCAGAATGTGTAGGGCATAGGGACAGAGGGAACAAAAATCAGAACTGCTTTGTTACATACGTGTCTTGAACTTTCATGTATATGATTCTTTGAGAAAAACACCCCTGTGTATTTTCAATGTGGTTACCCCATGTTAATGTAAGACTTGGGAGGTAAGGCATCAATGCTGACATGACCATATTTTTCTTGGTATCAGTTCAAATAATTGCACACCCGAAGTTACTTGATTTCATTTGCTCGTTCTGCAGACATTGGGATTGCCTATAACAGATGAGCAAATCCAGGAAATGAAGTCAAATCTGGACAACATCGACTTCAAGGTGGCAGCTGAGGAAGAGAAGCAGTTACGGCATGACGTGATGGCACATGTACACACTTTTGGCCGCTGCTGTCCAAAAGCTGCGGGTATCATTCACCTTGGCGCCACCTCTTGCTATGTCGGAGACAATACGGTACGAGCTGTTTTGTTTCTGTGTAGGCCGCAGTCTTTACGTGCTACACATTTTGTCTGATTTTGTTGTTTCAGGAACTCCATGGATCTTTTAGAGTTGGGGGTCTCTCAGTGCTCATGAATTTTCTGCTTTTGACATGTTTCTAGTCTCAACTCTGAGACACTAAGTGACCTCCAAATAGTACCTATGCTTTGATACGCTGGACAGAAGTCACCACTGTGACCTTTTAGTTAGTGAGGTAATTTTCCTTCCAAGTCCTTTGTAACTGTTTGCTATGACTTCTGAAAAGAAACAAAGGATTATATCTTAATTCCTTTTTTTTTTTTTTAAGATTTATTTATTTCTCTGTAGAAGGACTAAGCTGTAGGCCAAAGGTGGGGGTGGAGGTGTGAGTGGATACACTGGAGACAGAATGGGGAACAGAACAGGCATATCCATTGAAACATACTGCTGAGGGGAGCAGAGGCAAGGTGGCCTGAGAGGTCTGCTGCGCCATAGTGGGTCAGCCCTAGCCCTGTGGTGGAATTGAACTCAGGCATCACAATGATAGCACCGAGACTTACCTCAGCCACCAAGCGGTCCCTGCATTATAATTTTCTCTCTCTTTTTTTTTTAAGGATTTATGTATACATAGAAGACAGAGTAGGGAGCAGAGCAGGCGAATCCACTGAGATACACTGCTAGGGGAGCAGAGGGCAAGACAGGAGCGGCCTGCTGAGCTATGTGGGTCACTCCCTGGCCGGGGATCCAACTCATGCTGCAGTGGCTGTGGACAGCCTCATAGTACCAAGATTTACCCCCTTGCACCACCAGGGTGGACCCACACTATAATACTTAAATGAAACTATCATTGTCAAACATGTCTTGGAGTCAGACGTGGAAAAGTAACAGCGAGCATTTTCTAAGCAATGATAGATGCTTCACACTGTTAGGAGCCCTTTGTATATATTCATTCATCAAAACACCATGAAAAATAGATGCTGTTAGCTCCATCTTTAGGCAGTGTGATTGAATAATTCACATTCACTTGAAAGCTTATACAATAAAGCTTACTCACTGACATGCACAGCTCTGAGCGTTCTGGTTAAGTTACGCATTCGTTCAGCCTGACCATACGGAAGTTTAAGGCACATCCCTCACCTATACTCTTCTTGCAGTGTATGATCGCTCTCCACTCCTGCTTCCAGTTGCAAACATCCACTGACCTGCTTCTTGTCTCTGTGGTATAGCCGATCCTGGAAATTTTATATAAATGGAATGAATATATAGTCTTGAGGACAGGCTTCCTTATCCCAGTTGCTGCCGTTGAGATTTAAAAAAAAGGTTGAAGAACTTGCCCAAGATTATACTGTTAGAAAGAATACAAACCCAAATAGAAAAGACCCAAAGCTGTGCTCCTAATCATAAGTAATTGTTTCTTTCAAAGAGTACCTAGGGTATAGGTGGGCACAACAATCAGTCTCAGACAAGCATGTATTCGGAGTTTCCTGCAATATTTTTTACCCTCAAGATCAGCTTTAGGTTTCCTTAACTTTGTTCCGGTTCATGACTTTTTTGTGACAGATTTTATTAAAGGGAGAAGAAACTACTTCCTGGTACCCTAGGGGTTAAAGCTCAGTTCTGTCACCTGCAGTCTGAGTTTAATCCCTGGCCAGGAAGCTGACTTACCGACATGGCGCAGCAGACCTCTCCTGTCTCCCTGCTGCTCCCCTCAGCAGTGTATCTCAGTTAATCTGCCTGTTCTGCTCCCCACTCTGTCTCTAGTGAATCCTTTCACCCCTCACACTGCTGCCCTGTACCCCAGTTCTTTTATGCATAAATAAATCTTTTTTTTAAAAAAAGTGGGGAGGGCAGTGAGGAAACTAATGGGATGTTCCATATGGGAGCTTCTCAGAGACCCAAACATTCCTTTCTGGGAAGATGTCCGCTTGACCTGGACATCTTGGCTGGTTTAAGATGAGCGTCTGCTTGTCGTTTTCCAGTATTTGGGCTCCACATAAGTTGGGCTTTGTGACTGTAAAGATGGGTCCCTCGTAGGGGTGCTGTGCTCTTCTGGGAGTGTCAGCATCTTCAGGTTCTCGTCGTAAGCTTGGCCACTCGCTGAGAGACAGTTGTGAGTTCCAAAAGTGCTGTGTGGTATGTCTGGGCAAAGCTGATTAATGTAAGACTTGCATTTTCTCTTGTAGGACCTCATTATTCTTAGAAATGCATCCAACCTGCTTTTGCCAAAGGTAAGGAGTGGGCAGAAGTTCCCTAGATTCTCCTACAGAGGATAGGCCCCACTTAGGTGTTAACTAACATTGTAAGTCTAGATAGGAATATTGTCTCAGGTGAGCAATCTAATATCTGTAGAACTGAGTGACTTTCCTTGAGTTAAATCACTTTTCAGTGAGTGCACAGCCTTCTACGGGAAGTGCGTACAGTCAGCAGCATGTCATTGAAACATGTGGGCCAGATTTATGAGTCTGTCCTATTTGTCTGCATGAGTACGTCAGTGGTCTTAAAATTGTGCAGAAAAGTGACTTTTAAGGAAGCCATATCAATTTTTGTTGAACTCTTTAAGACACTTCAGGACAAGTGAAAAAATGGGGCGTCTGCCTTCTGTGCTGGCGGTCTGCTTGTCTATAGTGTGTAGCAGTTTAGTTTCTGACCGTGTAATGAGCTCACCCTAAATTCAGTCCCTCTGCCTTTCCGCCACATGGCCTCTGCTGCAGCTCGCCAGAGTCATTGCTCGACTCACTGACTTTGCCAAGGAACATGCCGGTCTTCCCACCTTGGGGTTCACGCATTTCCAGTAAGTGATCGCTTCGTGGGCATCGGGCTTGTTTGTGTGCATCTGCTCACGTTATTCTTTCGGCTCCTTCTCCTTTACAGAAACTTTAGGTGAACTGCCAAAATGCAGGTTTAGCAGCCGACTTGGGATGTCTCTGAGGATTAAACCTATTCGTCTACTTTGAAAGTGGTACTTGTGAGAATGAATCTAATTCAGCAGATCGTCCAATAATATAACTTTGTTCAACCTTCTTTTGTTAAAATGTTGATGGACCCAAAAATAAGATTTCTGGGCCACGCAACTGTGTGAAGTTTGCACATTCTCCCCTATGTTGGTGGTTCTCTCTGGGTACCTGTGTCCTCCCATGTCCCAGAGATGTGCAGTGAGCTTCCTTGGCTCGGAGGGTGCAGGGGGTGCGTGGTGCTCCTTGAGAGCACCTGTCCAGGGCCGCCTGGCCCTGAGCTGCGGCTCTCAACTGGAGTAAGCAAGCTGGATATGAATGAGTGCAAGTTAGTATCTAACAAAACACGTGTTGGGTCTTTAATCAGAAGTTAAGTGCTGTTTTTGTGACCAAAGAAGTAAGCCTTAACTCTTGTTTGTTTAAATCAGTCAACATGTGAGATTAGTATTGTCACATGTGTCACCTAAGTTGCAGTTTCTAAGCATGTTAGAATGTCAGGTGAGGACTTCCTGTAGTTTATTTGGGACTCTTACCAAGTCCTCATACTCCTTGACTTAGTAATTCCAAGGATCTAACCCAAAGAAGTAACCCAAATTGTGGGAAAAGTCTTGTGCAAAGATAGACTGACTGTGTGTATGATAGTAAGTGTCCAACAGCGAGAGAACAACTACAGCGGTATGCGTAGCAGTTGGCGAGATGTGCAGCCGCGGAAATGACGAATACAAGATTGGTGTGGAAACAGGCACAGGGAGGGAGGTGAATACACATCGTCAAAGATCAGATCAGAAGAAGGACACCCAGACAGGAAATACTGACTGTGCAGCTTTCTGAGATATTAGGGTAGTGAAGCATTCTCCCTGCTTTCTGTGTGTTTTTGCTTTTTAAAGTGTGCGACTGTTTTCAGAATTTCTGAATAGAGACCCTTCGAGGCTGATGGTGTCATTTCGGGGCAGCTCCCCACAGGCTCCTGGCTGGTGGCGCTCTAGTATCTGCTTATGTTCTGATGGACTGTTGATAATGTTGACAAGGAGGCCTTCTCTAACTTAGCAGAGCCTGTAGAACTTACTTGCTTAAAGCCGGGGCCCACCTTTATTGGTAGCAGAAACCCGTAGTCGCCATCGGGTGAAGGCTTGGCCGTCGCTTGCGGGGTGTTCGGTTTGGCTGTTGCAGACTTCACCGTGTGTGCTGCCACCTGGCGCCCTGCGGCAGCTCCTCTCTGCCTGCTCTGTTGGCATGTGCCCGGCCATGTGGGCACTCCTGCGTTGCCGGGACAGCTTCGTGAGGGACGTCTGCTGCCTCAGCCGGTGTTAGGAACAAGAAGAAACAGCTGTAGGAGATAATTCCCAGGCCGTGCAGTTCATCCTTGTCAGTATTCACTTCAGAATATTTCCATCGCCCCCCGAAACACCCCGTGCCACGTCACTTCACTCCTACTCCCCCATTCCTTAGCTCCTGGCAACAACTGCTGCATTTTCTGTCTAGGCGTTGCCTCTTCTAGATATTTCACTTAAAATAGAATCATACAGTATTTGTTCTCTTGTGACGGACTTCTTCACTCAGCAGAATTTTCCAGTGTTCAGTATTGGTGAAGCTGAGGCTTCATTTCCTTTTATGGCCGAGTAGTCTCCCATTAGGCGGATACACACATCTTGTGTGTCCTTTCCTCAAAGGTAGGCATTTGCATTCGCACTGTTCTGCGTTATGCTGCTGTGGACTGGTGCATCTTTTTGCATGTGCTGATAGTCTGGATAGGAGCTAACGAGGGCACCACATGGGCCTAAGTTGGGCTTTGCTGTGCCGTTTAGACAGTGCTGGTGGTGTCTCCTGGTGTCATTAGCCACGTAGGAGGGGACTTCGTCTGGGATGGGCCAGGCCGCCTTGAGGGGTCTGCCACGCTGCTGTGCTTCGGTGTGGTTTATCCAGCCTGCAGTGGGTCCATCTAGACCGGCTTGTGGAGACAAGGCTGCCACTGCCATTGAGTCCTTCGGCCACCTGTGTTCTGGCGTGGCTGGCCCCTCATCGGAAGCAGGATCCTTACAAAGGCTTCTTTCACTGTCAGCCTCCAGTGTTCTCTGCTGTTCACCCTTGTCTTATTTTTTCTGTGACCTTTTAAAAATCAGTGCCTGTCCTGCTTATTGACCTGTTGACGCTGCAACGCAGGCTCCTTTGAGCAAGGGCCTTGTCTGTCAGTTGTTTTTCCCTTACCAGAAATACATTCCGTACTTGGCATGTATTTGTCACATGCGTATTTGTTGTTTGAGGTCAAACAAGACATGATCCCTGCCCTAGTATTGCCTCTTTGTTCTTTTTCGATTGAGGTATGATTGACAGTTCCTTAGTTTCAGGTGCATGACTTAGTGATTCAGTCTTTGTCGACTGACACCTAAGACCCCGTGGTGCATCTTCTTGACATCTGCCACCATCCGAGTGGCAAAGTTTTTTTCGTATGTTGATATTTTAAGGTCTCTTATCAACTTGCAAGCACACAGGTCAGTCTTACTGACTGTAGTCACCTTGCTGTACGTGACATCCCTGGGACTCGTCTTACAACTAGAAGCTTACATCTGGTAGCCACTTCAACCCATGTGACAGTCCCGTACCCACCGTGGCAGGTGGAAGACACAGCGGAATGCCCCAGGGTGCGCCCTCGGTGTGAGGCTCCCGTGTTCTCTGGGTTGCTTTCAGGCCTGCTCAGTTGACCACAGTCGGTAAGCGCTGCTGCCTTTGGATCCAGGACCTTTGCATGGATCTCCGGAACCTGAAGCGTGTCCAGGACGATCTGTGCTTCCGAGGAGTGAAGGGCACCACTGGCACTCAGGCCAGCTTCCTGCAGCTCTTTGAAGGAGACCACCAGAAGGTATTCTGAAAGCTAGGCCAGCTGAGCTGCCCCGCTGGTGGGTGCTGCCCGTGCTTGTGAGTCCTCAGGCTGGGCTGGGTCTTTGGACCACAGGAAGCGGGTGGAAACCTGGGCAGGGTGAAACTTCATGGTGTGCTCAAGCTAGATGCCAGGTTTCTATAGGGATGTCTTTTCTTTCCAAGGTAGAGCAGCTTGACAAGATGGTGACAGAAAAAGCAGGATTTAAGAGGTAGGTGACTGAGAAAGGTGTTGGTCTCCTGAGGGCGTGACGAAATGGGTGTGTTCCTTATACCTCTAGTTTAGGACTTCGTTGTTTTAGCTTTTTCTTCCTTCCCTCTGGCCTGAGTTTTCTTATTGTCTGGATTCTATTTTGTTAGAATCCACAAGGAAAAATGAAGCAACTTATTTCTGAATTTTTACACTGGCTTGTTGGTGCTGTTTTGATTCCTTCACCAAAAGCCCCCAGTGGGCTGGTTTAAGTGAGTTTCCATTGAGGGCCTTTAGGTCCCATAGTGGCTGCTGCTTCCAGCTACTTCCATCAAGCTGTGGCGGAGGTAGGTGCCCTGGACCATGTGTACCTTCAGGTCAGGACAGCTATCAGGCTGGGGAAGGAGGTTGAAAAATAGCTGTTCAGCCGCTGGTCATTTCACGCCTCTTAGCTCAGTGTGACTGGTCAACCTGTACAGCCAAGTTTTGCTTAGTCTGTTTTGTTCTTGTTTGACCATCTTTTGAAATACTTAAGACTCCTCTATTTATTTCCAGAGCTTTTATCATCACAGGGCAGACCTACACACGAAAAGTGGATATTGAGGTGCTGTTAGCACTCGCCAGCTTGGGGGCATCTGTGCACAAGGTGAGTAAAGCAGCTTGGGACAGGGACAAGGGCTTTGCACAGCCCAGATCAGCTCAGATTTGCTTAGTCTGCTCTCTCAAGGGATGTCACATCAGTCTTAACAATTTGGGACCCATAAAAAGTCTCCGTGCTACCACCGCTGCAGCCTGGTTCTGTCTGCACCAGGGAGCTGACCCACATGGCACAGCACACCTCTCCTGTCTCCCTTCCATTCCCCACTGTGTCTCTGATTGAATCCTCTCATCCCCCACCCCAGCACCCACACCTACTTTACCAGTGTTTGAAGATTTATTTATTTATGCATACGAGAACTGGGGTGTAGGCCAGAAATACAGGGGGATGAGAGGATTCACCAGACAGAGTGGGGAGCAGGACAGGCAGATCCACTGAAATGCACTGCTGAGGGCAGCAGCGGGGGGACAGGAGGGTCTGCTGCGCCGTGTAGGTCCCTCCCTGTCCGGGGATCAGACTCCTGCTGCAGTGGCTAGATAGCTTCATAGTGCTGAGACTTTAACACTTTATGCCCCTAGGGTGGACCCCTGAATTTGTCAATCTGCTCTTCAGGAGCCAAGAGATGCCTGAGTAGGATGCTGTCCGGGAGCAGTGGGGGATCTTCAGCCCAGCATCAGCTCAAGCCCTGCCCCAGGCTGCCATGTGCCACAGTGTGCCAGTGGACTGACACTGTACTGTGCTTCCCCCCAGATTTGCAGTGACATCCGACTCCTTGCACACCTCAAAGAGATGGAGGAACCCTTTGAAAAACAGCAGATTGGTGAGTATGGTATACAGTCAAGCAGCCTGGAGATTCTGGGAGGCGGGGTGTGAGTAGCTTGCCCGGCGCACTTGCCGGCATCTGAAGCGCCCCACTTCTGCGCAGGCTCCAGCGCCATGGCGTACAAGCGGAACCCTATGCGCGCCGAGCGGTGCTGCAGCCTGGCCCGGCACCTCATCACGCTCGCCATGAACCCGCTGCAGACAGCCGCTGTGCAGTGGTTGGAACGCACCCTGGATGATAGTGCGAACCGGTCAGTGGAGTAGGGGCGCACAGTGCGCGCAGGGCTTTCTGGGAAAGCAGCGAGGAGTGCTGGAGGACTGGTGACATCGAGAGCAGGCAGTGCTCTGAGACTTACTGGCTGCGGGCGCTTTCCAAGACGTTTAAACAAAAGTGGGAGTTTGAATAAAGGCCCAAATGGAAGAGAAAGGACAGCTGAGGAGGGTGACTAGCAAATGGGTAGCACTGGGGGATGGAGTGTGTCTTGGTCAGAGATGAGCCGGGGTGTTACTCAGGTCGCGGCCGGTTCCTGTGGTGTCCTGGCACAGTTCAAAGGGACCGCCCACTTCGGGGTATCTTGCACATGTGTGTACAGCAGATCCACCTTGCCTGGTTTGCCCGGGGCTTCTTGAATGGAAAAGGACACATAGTTAAAGATTGCTCTGTGGAGTCTGTGCATAACCCAGAGTTCATCTGTGGAAATACAACCTCTGAACTCACTCAAAAGTTGGCCATGGATGAGCATGGCTTTTAGGGTGCGATCTAATCCGCTGCGGCTGCTGACGCGCCCTACCGGGCTTTGGAGAGTCAGTTGTAAGGCGACACAGATTTGGTCAGACAGTGGGGAGGCCGCCCTGAATAGCTGTGACCACGGTGCCCTGCAAATAAGGGGGAGATATGTGGTTGTAAACTTAGCAGCAGGCTGACTTTGGTCACCTGGAGTCGCTGATCAGTTGCCAGGCCACCGTTGAGTCAGGGGCTCCTGGAGGGGAGCAGATTTGAGTGGAATTCATTGAGTTTTGCAGTAGCTGTGGGTCCACTAGGTGGAGCTCTTGATTTGGCTATGTGATCTGGCTATTGGGCAAAAGCTGTGGACTGGATAGAGGTGGTAGGTTCGGGGGTCCTCGGGATATTGGGGTAGTTGAAGATGTGAGATGGAAAGAAGTTGCCCAAGAAATACCGGCCTAAGAAGCTGGTAGGGCAGCTTTCTGGAACACAGCTTGCATTTCACTGGCATTGTTATTTGTTTAAAAGGATAACAATGTGGTTGTTTGCTTTCTAGACGGATCAGTTTGGCTGAGGCCTTTCTCACTGCAGATGCTGTACTGAATACACTGCAAAATATTTCTGAAGGATTGGTGATCTACCCCAAAGTAAGAGCCTCTCAGTTAATAGGCAAATAGCCATTTGGAATGTGGGGTGACTTTTTCCTGCCCTGGAGTGAGTATGTTGGGGGAACTCTTTCCTGGTCCAGTGGAGCTTTCCAACATGAGCTCATTTTTCAGGTCGACATAAGCCCTCACAAACTGACTCGCTCTGACATTCACAGGCACATCTGAGAGGAACGCTTCGGCTGACTTCTGGCCATAGGGCAGTGTCCACTTGCCGTTCTGTGCTGCCAGGGCAGGTGGCTCATGTCCGTCCTGTGCTTGGATTTTGAGGCGGGGCCCTAAAGTTGAGCCAACTTGAGGTTTTAGGATTCACTCTGATGAAGTGATTTTTTTCTTTTTTTTATAATAGCTTATCTTTACATATTTTTGTGCATTTTTCCATCTCAATTGCAATCCCCTTGGGTTTCCCATCTAATGAAGTAATTTTTTAAAACTTAAGTAATTGGTCCTTTTTAAATGAAGATAATATGCTGAATTAGAAAACTGGAAAACAAAGTGTGGAGTGAATGCTCCGTCCCACTTTCTTCATGAATATGGATCCTGGCCCGGGCTGGCCGCCTCCTTTGTGTGTGAGTTTGTAACTTTTCTTGGCCCTTCCTCCTTCTAGGTGATTGAGCGGCGCATTCGACAAGAACTGCCTTTCATGGCCACGGAGAACATCATCATGGCCATGGTGAAGGCCGGGGGCAACCGCCAGGTTGGTGACACGCATGCCCTAAAAGCTAGGGCCCTCCCTGGGGGCGCAGTGGGTTAAAGCACTGCACTGAGAAACTAAAGCCACTTCCGCATGAGTTCGATCCCTGCCTGCCCTGGAGGTGACCACATGGCGTGGCAGACCTCTCCTGACCCACCTGCTGCTTCCCTCAGCAGTGTACTTCATCGATCTGCCTGTTCTGCTTCCCGCTCTGTCTCTGGTGAATCCTCTCACCCTCCGCATCTCTGGCCTGTACCCTAGTTCTGTATGAATAAGTAAATAAATCTTTAAAAAAAAAAAAAAGCTAGGTTGAGTGCCCCATCACCTGCCCCTGCCTCCTGAAGAAGAATGGGTGAAGAGCAGGCCCCTTTACTCTTGTACTGCTTCAGAGCACTGAGCTTATTCTGCCACAGAACAGACTGGTGATTGTGGTGAGCTTGGTTAGTAGGAGTGAATCACTCGCTGTAGGGAAGGCCCCCTCTCAGTGAAGGGATTGGGCCTGACTTCCCATAGGAAGCAGCAGGACGTCAACGGCACACGGTGGCAGGTGGCCTTGGGGGCACCGGTGCAAGGTGGGCTTCTGCATCACACCATCCTGGGAGGTGGTCAGAGAGGCAGCGTCTTGCTGGACTCTGACTTGGAGAGGAACCACCTCAGCCTGCAGGGGTGCAAACGCGGGTGTGGAGTGCTGTGTGACCTGTTGGTGGCTAACCAACACCCCCTTGCTGTCTTCCAGGATTGCCATGAGAAAATTAGAGTGCTTTCCCAGCAGGCAGCTGCTGTGGTCAAGCAGGAAGGGGGTGACAATGACCTCATCAAGCGCATCCAGGCCGATGCCTACTTTAGTCCCATTCACTCCCAGTTGGACCGTTTACTGGACCCATCCTCCTTCACCGGCCGTGCACCCCAGCAGGTAGGCGTCAGAGCCCGGATCTTTGGTCTTGCTCTCCTGCACTGCTGGGCTGTGCAGTCTGGAACCTCACTGTGTCCACCTTCTAGGAGGGTGATGGGGGTGGGGTGTCTTAGAGTCCAGAACCGCTTGGCAGCTAAAATGTAGGGGCCTGGATTATTTTGAGCTGCCCAAAATATTTCCTCCATGGGTTTCTCTGAATTATCTTTGGGTTGAAAGCACATGGTATGTGAGGCAAAGACTATGCTTTACCATCAGGCAGATCTGGGTCACTCCTGACTGGCATTTACCAGATGAGAGGACATCTCCTGTCCGGCCACTGTGTTAATTGAGGGCCTGATGTAGTGTTGGTGCAGAGAGTGTTCAGAACTGTCCTTTTCCTCTTGGCTCTTTGGCAACTCCAAGCGTTAGTTCAGAAGCATCAGGTGCAGACTGGGTGTTCTGTCTGTGTTCAGGCGCTGTTTCAGTTCTGAAGCTTGGGATGGGTGGGTAATCCTTGTCTGCAGGGAGCTCAGCGCTTAGTGGTAGAGACTTACAAATAGGTCATTATAAGGCCAAGCAGCACCTGCAGGAATTGAGACACGCACAAATCGTGGGATCACAAAGCCGGAAACAGCCCCAAAATAGTACAAATTGGGAGAGCACAGCAGACTTCCTGGGGGACGTGAAGTCAAAGCTGAATCTGAGGGACAAGTAGGAGTCAGCCTGGAAACGCCAGGCTGAGAGGAGATATTAGATTCAGTACGAGAGACGTCCCAGTCGTCAGAGTTGCTGGAGAGTGAAGTGCCCTAGAAATCATTGGACTTCGAGTTGAAGGCACTTTTCCGTTTATATTCAGTTTGGTCTGGGGTTTTGTATTTGAAAGATGTGAAGTGGGGAGACCAGTGGGAAGGCAGGCGTGTGTGGGTGAGGCCTTGGAGCCAGTGTGGTGGGTGCTCAGACAGGAGAGGCCGGGGGCTACTTAGGTGGTTTGGAGCTGAATAAGAATGAGGAGGAAGTGGTGATGGCTTTCAGGTGGGATTCACTGAGAACAGGTTGGGCTGGGAGGAAGACTTGCATGTGGGTGGAGGTGGGTGGCTGCTCCTTGGGTGGAAAGCAGCTAAGTGGTCTGAGTGGTTGGAAAGAATACCCAAGTTTTCGTCTTAACTTTTCTTTCTGGTATTTCCTCTCCTCTTTGGCAGGTACAGAGATTCTTAGAAGAGGAGGTCTATCCCCTGTTAAAACCATATGAAAGTGTGATGAAGGTGAAAGCAGAATTATGTCTGTAGAGCCGGAAGAGAATTAAACGTAAATTCCTTGTTAACTTTTATCAGCGAGTGGTAAAAGTGTTAACTTAGTGCCTTACTTTATGTCAAGGTTTTTTTTTTTTTACATTAAAAGGACAGGTTTACCAGGGGCAGACACCTGCACAGACAGATGGGCAGGAGAGCGGCCACTTGTCTTGCAAAGAGAAGAAGGTTTGTGAAAAGACACCTCAAGAAGTCTCACCTTGAATTCATTCAGTGCTCTTCTCTCTCCATGGCACGCTCACCTGTCGGGGTTTACAACGGAACTAAACTGCACTGTGATTGGACTCTGCATTTAAGCAGCAGCGCAAATCCACATAGTAGACATGCAGGTGACTTTCAGGGCCTCTTTCCAGCTAGGCTGGACCTTTTCGTGCATCCACTTCCTTGTGAAGTCCTCGGCAACCTCCTGGTCTTCGGAGGGTGGATTGGGTGCGGGTCTAGGGAAATGACCGGGGCTCAGAATGCTTGGAGGCTTCTATTCATTATTCTTGCTAGAGTAAGTAGTGAGGTAGCTGAGGTACAACAAATCCTTTCTGAGAATCAACCTTAGCAGCTCACGTTGTCTGCGCAACGCAGCTGACCTTTCAGTGAGGCTTGTCTAGCTTGGAAATGCTGATTGGGTATATTGGTTATGTCAGGACATTCACGAGCAGGCCAGCTGTATCCAAAGCCATGTGGGACATGGGTTAACGCCCACGGCCTGCCAGGGGAGAGCTGGTGCCCCCCTGCCAGTACTGCCCTTCACGGCCTCCATCTGTAAACCTTTTCCTCTTAGGTGAAAATGAAGAAAATTTGTTTTATCAGTTTTGCAGGTGATACAAAATTAAGATAACTTGTCGGCAACTTTTGTAAAATTAAAATTCATCTAACCTAAGTAAATGGAAGTGATGTAGTCCAAAAAAAGAAAAACTCAAATATAGAGAAGTTAATTTAAACTCAGATGAGTCAGAGATGGTTGCCAAGAAGGTAAGATAGTTCTGAGTGTTTAGTGGTGGTGTAATGTCGAGAAAAGCCACCAGGCCCTCCACTGCACCTGTCCTGACCTCATCGGGTCAGGTTCACAGATTCCAAGGGTGGTTTTTTGAGTGACCATCTAGGAGACTGGTGGGAGGCTAGAGGCCTGCCTGCAGGTGTCTGGGTTTCCAGCCAGGAATGAGCTAACCTTACATTGCCGGGGGCCTGGGCACTGGGAGCTGTAACACTGGGAAAATGACCACTCTCCAAGGCTTCAACCCTTAATAAGGCAGCTGACTTGAAAGTTAAAAGCTTATCCTGGGCCCTCCCTGGTGGTGCTTCAGGTTGGAGTGCTGCACTGCCAAGCTAAGCCAAGCCTTGGCCGCTTCACTGTGAGTTCGATGCCCAGCTGGGGAGGTGACCCACATGGCCAGCAGACCTCTCCTGTCTCATCCACTGCCCCCTCAGCAGTGTATTTTGTCCATCTGCCTGTTACGCTCCGCACTCTGTTTCTGGTGAATCCTCTGGCTGCCCCTGCACCTCTGGTCTGTACCCCAGTTCTGTATGCACAAATAAATAGAATATTTTTAAAAAGTTAAAGGTTTTGCCCATAGTTGCTTAAGTAAGTTGCTTATTTCCTGTCAAGATGAAAAAGGTAAAGTACTAACTTCACGCTTAAAAAGCTTCATTTCTTCATGATAGCCTCGAGGAAAGAAGTATGACATTTTGGGGTTCACCAGGCTTCAGACTTGACCAAATACATCGTCCAGTTCCCTGCTTTGTGTTGTCTGTATAGCCAGCAGAGCTGCCCCGGCACTGGCCTTGCAGTTTGGGCAGCAGGAGTAAGGACCGGCTCTTCTGTCGTGGGACAGGCGTTTCCACATTCGAACACATTCTTTAAGCTCCACTGAGAAAAGGTGCTCGAGCCAGCTCTCATCGCTTCTGGTGATCATGCCTTCGATCCGCCCTAGGCCCCTCCTCCCTCCCGCTGCTGAGGGGCTAAGTTACTCTTAATACTCTGGCCCCATCCACCGCAGGGGGCATGAATCACCTGCAAGCTTTCCTGGGAGGTGTTTAAGAATCAGCCGTTCTAGAATCAGCCGTTCTTCTTTTGCCCTTTGTTTGGTGGAGGCTGTACGATAAGTGGAAATCCTGCACAGCGTTTGCTGGCAGAGCTCCACGGGGTTGTGCACCGTTGCTTGAAAATCACTACCTACCCCCTGGCCTCACGACCTGTGCGCCAGTGTTCACGGACATGTTCTACTGGAGTAGGGAGGGCTGGAAGCTGTATCTGGTCCTTACTCCCTAGTAAATCTGTAGGGAAAGTTGGTCTTTAAAAAGGAAATGCTAATGGTTCGCTGCAAAAAGCTAAGGCACCCATGCTGAATTAGCAACAGCTTACAACTCAAACTTTTCCCATGAGAATAATACAGCACTTCTAAGTTGCGAGAGAAAAAAAGGATACCACACTAAAAGGGCAGGAATTTATTATCCTTTGCCTTGGAAAAGAAAAGAATTTGGAAGAATCTGGCCTCGGTGCAAAGAAAAGTGAATGTTGCCACAAAAAGTTTATTTTTTTTTTAAGATTATGCATACAAGAACGGGGTTACAGGCCAGATGTGGAGGGGGTGAGAGGATTCACCAGAACCAGAGTGTGGAGCAGAACAGACAGATTCACTGAAATACACTGCCGAGGAGAGAATCCCTGGCTGGGGATTTAAGTTGCGCTGAAGAGGCTGCTAGTGGCTCTCAGTGCTGTGCTTTAACCACTTGAGTCACCAGGGAGGGCCAGGTTCATACTTGTTTGCCTAGGTCCCCGGTAAAATGTAATTACAATTCAATCTGCTTTCAGCACAGTAGTATATCCATAATGTAAAGGGCTGGGTGAGGTGAGGGGTGTAGCTCCGCCCTCCCAACCCCCCCATGGTCACCGTGAGCTAGGCCTGGTTAACAGACAGCACTGAAAGGAAGTGGTTATCTCCCTGGCGTCCTGGGTGTATGGAGCCGTAGTACTATTGCAGCTTTCTGAGAGGTGTCGAACACATTTTCAAGCCAGGCCCGGAATCCAATGGGGAGTGAGGAGGGCCTGCCACCAGCCTGGTAGCTTCCACGCTCCTCTTTTCTGTGCTTCAATGTTTTTGGGAACTGGCCAGTTCGTGGACGATCGTGAGTTGGCCCACTGCTGCACAGGAGAGCACCTCGGGCACAGCCTGGAGTGTGTGGCTCCTCGGCTTTGAGGGCTTTCGAGTTGTGCACAGGTGGATTCGGCTGACCCAGGACCGGTCCTGTGCGCCCACTGAGAGGGGCTTGACAACTGTGAATCCTCTCGTCACGTCGTCGACGGGGTCCTGGAAACACTGCAGCACTGGCAGTGTTCTCGACACACAGCCTGAGGACCCCCGTGTTCGGAAAGAGCACCATGGCGGGCTGCGCCTTTGCAGAGCGCTGGGGTGACTCCTCCACGCTCACCGCTGGTCCACCCGGTATTGCCCGAGCCCCTCGGCTGCAGTATATGTGCGAGGCCCGAAAACAGGCTTCGAATGCCGTGGGAGCCTGGCTGCCCCAGACCAGTGTGGTGGGCCGGGCCCCGCGCTCCAGCTGGTGCTCCCAGAGTGCTTCGCGGCAGCCGCGGCCCCTAAAAACTACAGCTCCCAGAGTGCCCCGCGGCAGCCGCGCTGGCCAGGCGTGTGCGCGGTGGCGCCGCTGAACGCTGACGGACCGAGCCGCTGAGGGAGCCGGAGTTGGCACCGTAGCGGCGGCGGGGCAGCTGGACCTCCCCTCCCGGCCACTCAGCCCGCGCGGCAGGTGAGTGCCGGGACTCGCGGGGTCCACAGGCCCCGAGGCCAGCCGTGCCCCTTCGGCGAGCGCCCCCGCGGACCGGCTGACGGGAGGGACCGCGGGGGAGAAGCGCCCGCGGGGAGC